TTCACTATATTTTTTAAAGCATTTTTAGATATAAATCCCGGTTTGAATTTCTACTATGGGGTCGAGAACCCATTTTGTACCAAAGCATCAAAATTCCTAACCTCAGCCACTATAAAATGATGGTTCTCAACCCCCAGAGGATTACGGAAAATGACAACATGATACTGCTACAAAATGAAGATTGGTTTTTATCATGAGGTTACTTGAAGGGGAAATTCCACCACTACAAAATGACGATTGGTTTTTATCATCAAGTTACTTGAAGGGGACACTCCGCCACTACAAAATGAAGATTGGTTTTTATATGCTTTTATCATCAGGTTACTTGAAGGGAACACTTCAATACTACAAAATGAAGATTTGTTTTTATCATCAAGTTACTTGAAGGGGACACTCCACCACTATAAATGAAGATTGGTTTTTATATGTTTTTATCATCAGGTTACTTGAAGGGAACACTTCCGAAGGGCAACTTCCCTTGCTACAAAATGAGATTGGGTTTTTACATGTTGTCTTCCGATGGGCAAATTCTCTTGCTACAAAATGACTTTCGATTTTTAAAGGTCTTTCAACTACCGAAACGTTGACAACTTATAACATGCAATTCCCAAGCTGTGGGTACAAAATGCCTGGCCCATCCCCATTTTTTCATCTTAATTTAAGCCTGGAAAGGCCTTGAAACGGGGCACAAGGCCTCCCATTCTGTAGTTGAAATTCGAACGGGGATAGATATAACATTTTCCTTGGTTTTCACGTATTTTTCTAACATGTTACATGCCTCCTAGCATGTTCACGCGTGTCCTCCATTTTGTACTGTTTTCTTTCCAGTGGATTTTGCACGATTTCCTCTGATTGTTATCATGTTTTCCTGCAGTTTCTATATCCTCTTCGTGGGTTTTCAGTCTATTCATGCATTTTTAATCTAATTTTCCAAGATTATTACCCGTCTCCTTTTTGCACCATTTCCTCTGGTTTGCTGCATTTTCAATGTATTTTTCCAAGAGCTTTACCCGTCTCCTTCAGTTTCCAATCGTTTTTGCACCATTTCCTCTGGTTGTTATCGCATTTTCCTGCACTTTCACTGTCTTTTTCCAACATGTCTACTGCATCGTCATAGTTTGTTCCTAGCAGTCACTCCGGTTTCCTCCATGTTCCAACAGATTTTGCATGGTTTGTTCCTAGCATTTTCCTCTGATCGTTATCATGTTTTCCTCAAGTTTCATTGTATTTTCCAATACATCCTCTTCGTGGGGTTTCAATATGTTTTGTCCAGCATTTTTTTACTACATGTTTCCTATCATTTTCACCTCTTTCCTCCATAGGTTTTTGCACCATTTCCTCTGGTTTCCTGCATTTTCATACCTTTTCAATATTAATGTTAATCCAAGAGTTTTACCTGTCTCCTTCATTTTCCGATCCTTTTTGCACCATTTCCTCCCGTTGTTATCACATTTTCCTGCACTTTCACTGTATTTTTCCAGCATGCTTACTGCATCGTCATGGTTTGCGCCTAGCGTTCGCTCCGATTTCCTCCATTTTCCAAGGGATTTTCCATGGTTTGTTCCTCGCATTCGCTCCGTTTTCGTCCGTTTTTCAGGGGATTTTGTACGATTTCCTCTGATCGTTATCATGTTCTCCTGCAGTTTCATTGTATTTTCCAATACATCCTCATGGTCTCTCCGGCCACCAAAAAGGCGGACCTAGGGGGAATCGATACCCCACCGTCAGCAAATTGCCTAGTGGTACATAATCCAGCAAAATGCTCCGTTTTCTGGCGCTCAACACAGGGGCACGGCGAGATTTCGTTCCCTTTCGGCAACCACCCCCCCCCACACCCCCTATTCTCACTTCGTTCGCAAACAGCAACTAGCCAGCTAGCTGGCTTTCGTAACAAACAAATCATGTTATACAAGTTATATCCGCCAACAAACATGAAATAACATCTGAATATCTGAAGTCGGAACATCCGCCTCGAATCAAGTCATCATCACAGTTGGCCACCTGAGTTGGCCTAAGTTCTCCGGGCTTGACATCGGTCGCGTTGATTTCGCGGCAACAAATCCAGTGTCTGAGTTTGGAGCAAGTCGTCCGGAACTGCTACCTGCAGGAAAAACAACAACTCTTCATGTACCACTTTTTCGTATCGGCAAAACATTTAGCAAGATTTCAACATAAACCATTTCATCAATGCATCATCAATATGTATCACTAAAAATCATCATGTACCATTGGTGTTTACCATCATAATATCCCTTCTAATGGTGTTTTACTGATGTCCTACACCGGTGCTGGATATCCTGGGGATTTCAGATGTACCATCCGAGGCTCCGCATCCACATCGGCTTTGCAGCAACGACAAGGCCTCGGCAGATCCAACAGCACTGGCAGAATGGCAGAAATGAATGGCAGATCGAACAGGAAAATATGGCAAATCCAATTGAAAGATGTTTTTCAAGTCTTCAATTTCCTGTCAAGTTCAGTGTTTTTCAGCGTTTTCAGATTCCGGTTGGCTTTGTTTATTGTGGTGTACCACTCGCGTTTTGCCATGTTGCTGTCCGTAAAAGTTCCTAGAAATGAAACACAGTTCAACCTCTGGTGAGCTAATGGAAGAGCCCTGGAGCAGTGCAAACCAATGATCCCTTCCCCCTAAGCTACCGCTATGAATATCAAATAGCCCTTGCGAACACCTTGGTTTAAGTTCCAATCTATTCATTTTATTGTGGCATACATAAGTAGATGACTAGATACATCTACATGTACAAAATGTATGTGTATGTTATATATATATGTATATATATATATACATATATATATATACATATATACATATATACATACACATACCATATATACATGTATATTATATCATGCCATATCATATCATATCATCGGAGAAAAAGACTTCAAATCTCATGCTACCATGCTACCTTTTGCCTCGGCACTGAGGGGCCGACCCACCCAGAAGACGATACCACAGGCTCTCAGGTCCTCTCCCATTTTGGGTGGCAGCCTGGCAGGCGAGGCAAATCTTGGGACCAAAGTCATGGGCTTAAAACGAAATGGATCATATGCAATAGATACATATATGTATTATATATATATATATATCTTTATTTGTACATATCTATGTGCATATATATATATACATATAATTATACATATATATATATACATATCTGTAGGTATATGTACGAGTACATGTATCTATATGCAATATTGTCTACACAACATAATCATTCTACAGTGGTGCATTGCTTCCCAGTGGCACCTCTTGGTTCATCCACCGAGAAGAAAATTGGTCAACGCCTCAGCATGGCTCAAGTTGGAGGGGAATTTTGGATACTCATATTTTAGATCAACAAGTAATCATTGCATAATACCAATAAATATATGTAATTATATGTACGTATGTATGTATGTATATATAGATACTATATATATATATATATGTGTACACTATACGCACAACAAGATATGTAGAAATATACCACCGAGAAAATATATAATCGAAAATGCAATGTCCAATGAGTATGGTAAAAAAGTGGGGATCGGACTCACAGGTTTGGATGTCTTGGTCATTCTATATACAGAACGTCCCGGGATGCTGAAGATGCTGAGGATGGGACAGGGTCTCAGTCTCCTGGATTTTTCTCAGACCCTGGAAAACCATGGGGGAAACCATCTCATCCTTTGTCCAGCAAATATCCATATCATAGGGGAAGGATGGGGAAAGCATATTTAAGGAGATTTGGATGAATTGGAAACTTAGAAGAAACCCTAGTTTTTTAATCTTTTTTACTATCAGTTTTTTTGGGGTGTTCCCCTGTATTCCCAGGAACCAATTCTGGGACGGCAGCTCTGAACCAAATTCGCCCGCCTGAGTCCATGCTGGCTACCGAAAGGCTGCCGCAGAAATGGTGCGATTGTCGTTGAGTCCCACTTGAGCTACATATCTTGGCTTCAACTTCATAGGTTTGATCGATCCATTATTATGATCCATTGATCAAATATCTCCACAGGTATTTCAAACATGTAAAAGTCTTCACTAACATAATGAAGCTATATGAATGTATTTAGTGGAATGCTGTTGTTCTTCGCTGCTTGCAAATGCTGCTGTTTTAATGTGGCGCTTGAACCAAAAAGTGCCTGGAGCCATAAAGCGTATCAAAAATGCCACAGAAATTGCAGTGAAACCAGCAGAAACATCTCTCAGATTGGATATATTCCATGCTTAACTCGCGAAAAACTAGTTCAACTGGTGGGCACATGCAAAACGAGTAGTTGTGGTAGTGCATGTCGGTCAGGACTTCTGCCTCAGTGTCATGGCGCAGCTTGGCGTTGCATGCGTTGCATGCATTGCATGCCACGTGTCCAGCGGTGTCCAGGGGGTCCAGTTGTCCCAAGATGTCCCAAGGACCCAACGCGCAGCTCATCCGGCTGGTCAACTTTCATGTACTCTTTCAGAAGCTGTCGAATTTCAGCCTTGCTCCTGACGTGCTGGACATAACTGCGAAAATCACTGGTGTGGAATCAGTCAACTTGTGCTGGCAATGGTTTATCGAAAAATAGACATGTCAACTTGTCCGTGATTCACCCTGGGAATTCAGCCTATTTTTTCAGCCTATTTTGAATGGCACGTGACATGGCACAATCACCTGGGAATGACATGTGACATGCTTGACATGCTCAAGTGAAATCAGCTTCTGGATCTGGACCAAACATGGACCAAACATGCCCGCAGGACCCGGCAGCAGCAACCGTGGCCAAGTCTGCCTTTTGTGGAGCGTAAAACAATTATCACACATCTGTAAAATACGTGTTTGAGCATCGAATCCAACAATTTAAGGAGCTTATATACCCTCAGTTTAAAGTGAGATATAGCTTAAACATTAAGACATGTTGTGACTTTTTATGACGGTGAAAGATGGTGAAAGCAAACACTGTGTCTTCACCAAAACCTCAAAGCGTCCAACGGCGGCGATCGGCGACCTATGAGTTTTTTTTCTGCGAAGCACCGGACGCACCAGCTATTTGAAGTGGCACATGGCTTCTGGATCTCAGTCTCAGTTGATCCACCACCAGCGTTGATCCACACCGATGGATTTCCAAAAGTCACACTCCATGGCCTTGTGATTTCTATGCCACTGAGTTTGGGTGGCTCCCACCTCTGAGCCTATGACTTCTCCGTGCTGCGAGTCTTGGACCCTTTTCCAGCCATGAAACATCTCGCCATGCAGGATGAGGTCAAACCAATCCGCCCGAAAGCGATCCCCCAGAGCTAGGTCCATCTCATCTGCTTCGAAGTGCTCATCATAGAAACTAAACACTCGACTGGCAGCAGTAAAATCCCAGTTGTGGTAGGGAAAGCGTTGGTTTTTCAGTGCTTTGCTGGGCGATGCAGTTACCGTACTCCAAAACACAGGAGACCTGAAGCCATTCCCAGCAGCTTGTGCCAACTGTCGAAAACCACAGGCGGTAGCGGTATCTGCATCCACGGCATAGGCAGCATATGCAGGTGGCTGGTATTGTCCATAGATGTCATAGACTTTCTTGGCCACATCTTCCCCATATTCAGCAAACTGCTGATGGAAGAAATCTCTCAAGCCCTGCTGGCTCAGATTCTCCACCTGTGGTGCTGGAGCACAATCCATCTCTGCTTGCATACTCTGCAACAAGATCGGCACGTCGTTGATCCCGCGACGTAAGGCCTCTTCCACGGGCGCACTCACCGTGACGCCGTCCACATAAAGAAGAGCGCTCTCGCGGGAGGCAATGCCATGACTGTTGTTGGGATAGTCCCACAGAACATCAAAGATCTTGTAGGACATTGGCAAAGCTTTATCCAATGTATGTGCATCAGCTGTATAGAGGCATTCCAGTAATGGTTCTCCAGACATCCCAGCACAGGGAGTATTTGGAAGAATGAGGCGACGATCCATGTCCTCCTTGCTCTGGCGATCCATGGTGATATTCGGCGATCCCGACAAGGAGATTGCTCGATGGAACAGGCCACGACTCGACTCCGAGGCAAGATGGGCCAAGATGTTGGTGCCACCGGAGCTTTGCCCCAGCAACGTGACATGCTCAGGGTCACCACCAAAGGCTGCGATATTCTGCTGCACCCATTGCAATGCCAGCTGCTGATCTGTGATGCCCAGATTTCCGCTACTTCCTCGTGGATCAACCTCAGCCAATTCACGCAAGGCCAAGTTGCCAAAAATGCCCAGGCGATAGTTCATGGCCACCAACACACAGTCGCGTTGCCGCACCAGGTTCTCAATAGGACCATAGAATTCTACAGAGCCCATGATGTTCGAACCACCATAAATCCAAACAATGACTGGTAACTTAGCAGTGCCACGGAGATGTTTTGATGGAAGAAACACGTTCAAATTCAAACAATCTTCGCTTTCATTGGCTCCGGCTCGACCTCCCTGCAAACAGCTGTTGCCATCCTCCATGGCATCACCAGCTTGACAGGCCGCCGCTCGCGCGGGCCGGAAGCGTTGTTGTCTGAGCGGCGCCTGGCCATAGCGGATCCCACGGAAGGCGGCGACACCCTGGGACCAGGTGCCATGGAGCGCCCCGCAGCTCAGCTGGACCTCAGGACTGCCATCGCTAGGAGCGCCATCGGCGCTGCCATCTGGCAACGGTGCCACCAAGCGCAGGCTGAAGCGGCTGAAGTTTCGAAGCAGAACACACGCGGCCAGAAAAGTCAGCTGCACCAGCACACAGCTGGTCACCATGGGCATTGAATTTTCTGTCGCAATGCGCAGGAAATGGCTATGGAAAGGATTATGGCAAGTGACTGATTGTGGCATATGTAGGAAAAATCATTCGATTTTCTGCAACATCCAGAAAACAAAAAAACGCAAACAAGGCCCAGCATTCCCAGCCTCAGACATGTCAGCCCAGTAAAGAAACAAAGGCCTGGGCTCTATCGCTTCGGCAAGATTGAGTACCAATGGCCATCCTCCTTTTTCCAAAAAATGGGTAGATAATGTTGAGAAACAGTTAGGGAGTGGATAGTGTTGATAGTGTTTACCATCAACCCCTGGCCGATGGAAGCTAGCACGACCCTGACAGCTGACAGCCAATCATAATCCAATGTTTATTGATGTATTAAATCAATAATATCCCTATATGTTCATTGGTGAATAGATCATAAATGATAGTAATATATAACATCTATATATATATATAACATATATAGCCCCATATTCATTGGTTCATATAACATCATATAACCATATCCTATCCACAGTCTGGTCACCCATCGACTTCGGTTAGCTGATGGCCTCATGTCCTCCGGCTTCGGTCGTGGCTTCATCGTCTTGGTCATGTTGAAGTCCGAGACCTCGAAGTGCCATTTTGATTAAAATCGGCATTGGAATGGCCAAATCACCATTGTTTTTTTGTAGCTAAATAATGATAGATATTAAATAATGAATATTATTTTTTGTAGATAATTAATGTAGATAAATGATGGTAAATCATGATAGATATTAATCATGATTCATATTATGGTGATTTGGCCATGATTATCCATCATAAATCATCATTAACAATCTAATGGCCCAATCACCATCTGGATATTCAGATGATTCATGATTTAGATTCTTCAGATGAATTTTCACCAAATCATCGGATTGTGATGGTGATTCATGCCTAGATGTTAGCTGAGTCAAATCAAAAAAAACCTCTGGCAATTTAGAATAGCTATGGAAAATCACGGTTACATTAATAGGTAAAATCATCTACAATCATCTCAATCTATAAATGGGCCATTTTCCATAGGTCAAACTAGTGGAGGGTATGGTTGTTGGATGTTGCTGGGCTGGTTTTAACCCCCCTTTAATCATCATCCATGGAACATCAAAATATGTCATGGGGCCTTCAATTTCCCTGGCAGCACCCCCAGATGTATGCTCAGGTGTGGACAGTGGATAGGGTTGACAAAATGGTTTATCAGTGGTGTAACTAGAGGATGATTTTGACCCATGAAAATTGAGTTTTGTCAATACTTATTTATCAGCAAAACCTGATTTGGAGGATGGGCTGTTGATGAGGAATTCATCTTGCGGCGCACTTGATGAGGGCTTGTTAACAAAATTTGATCTCCAAAATGGGGGCATGTGCTCTTGAACACATTTGTGTAAATAGATGATGTCTGCAAGAAGAAACTTAAGATATTGTTTAAGAACAATTACTCACATCCTTGGAATGTTGGTGGATATAGCTGAGTTACCATGGACCGACATGATTACATTGACATGAATTTAGGATGATTTAGGTGTTCTTCCACGCCCAAAAACATCTGGGTCCCAAGATGTCCCAAGTCTGGGCTGCCATAGCCGTGGTGTTTGCATAGCTGCCATAGCCGCTGTAGCCCATAGGCTCGGCTCGGCCCCGCAAAGTACCCATCACCCAGTGTCTCGAGCCAAAAATGTCAGGTGTCGAGTGTCGAGGATCTTTTTTTGACTTGGCGACTAGGTTGACTGGTTTAAAATGCGAAAACCACGATGTGGTTTTGCCTTACATTGCCTGGCTCCTTGGGTTTGAAGATGTTTTGGAGCAACTTGAGATGTTGACTGTTGATTGGTCTTCTTAAAATCCGGAAGTATTCAAAGCGTTTAGAAGCTCAACTGACTTACCAAGACTCGTCCCATGGTCTCTTTTTTCGCCCCCTTTGGGGCTGCGTTTCTGCCATATCCAACTGCACATAATATGGCGTCCAGTTCTGCCAGGTCACAGATCCATGTGACGGGTGTGCCATCGTCGTCCAACTGTCATCTGTTCCTCGGGCGCATAAGGAGCGATGCGCACCACGCCATCTTTGGAGTGCAGCCAGACCACCAGGTTCACACGCTGACCGCTGAGCAGTTGCTGTGCTTGATGTTGATGCTGACCCCGATGGATCACCGCCATGCCGGAATGGAAAACGACATCACCGGCACCTGCGGATTCGTTGCCCTTTGGCAACTGATACATGCCAGAACCACCACTTTCAAAGAAGCGCAGGCTGCTGCCTTCCCAATTCTTGGGGCCTAGACACAGATTGATCGTTACCACGGAAGCATCTCCGTGCTTGGCGAGTTCGGTGTCGCCATCGGGCTCGTACTGCACAGTGAAGGCATAGTGCCCATCGGCATCTTTCGGCCCAACGAGCTCCGGAAAGAGCATGGCAGCAAGGGGTTGAAGGTAATCTTTGCACAGACCTTCCTGAAGATCAGAGGTT